TCCCCGAGTCCCCATGGCTGTCCCCCCGGCTGTCCCCATGTCCCCAGCTGCCCCCGTGTCCCCATGCTGTCCCCGTGTCCCCAGCTGTCCCCTGTGTCCCCAGCTTCTCGTACCTGATCGGGAAGGACACGTGGCTGGAGGAGTGGCCGCTCCTATATCCCCACTGTCCCCATGTCCCCATGTCCCCACTGTCCCCATTATCCCCATTGCCCTCGCTGTCCCCGTGTCCCCATGGCTGTCCCCGTGTCCCCCTGTCTATCCCCGTGTCCCCAGCTATCCCCTGTGTCCCCAGCTTCTCGTACCTGATCGGGAAGGACACGTGGCTGGAGGAGTGGCCCTCGGAGGCTGCTCCTCTATCCCCACTGTCCCCATGTCCCCATGTCCCCACTGTCCCCATTATCCCCCTTGCTCTTGCTGTCCCCATGTCCCCATGGCTGTCCCCGTGTCCCCCCGGCTGTCCCCGTGTCCCCAGCTGTCCCCTGTGTCCCCAGCTTCTCGTACCTGATCGGGAAGGACACGTGGCTGGAGGAGTGGCCCTCGGAGGCCGCTCCTCTATCCCCACTGTCCCCATGTCCCTATGTCCCCATGTCCCCATTATCCCCTATATCCCCTTTATCCCTGCTGTCCCCGTGTCCCCATGGCTGTCCCCGTGGCCCCAGCTGTCCCCTGGGTCCCCAGCTTCTCATACCCGATCGGGAAGGACATGTGGCTGGAGGAGTGGCCGCTCCTATATCCCCACTGTCCCCATGGCCCTATGTCCCCATGTCCCCCCGGCTGTCCCCGTGTCCCCAGCTGTCCCCTGGGTCCCCAGCTTCTCATACCCGATCGGGAAGGACATGTGGCTGGAGGAGTGGCCGCTCCTATATCCCCACTGTCCCCATGGCCCTATGTCCCCATGTCCCCCCGGCTGTCCCCGTGTCCCCAGCTGTCCCCTGGGTCCCCAGCTTCTCATACCCGATCGGGAAGGACATGTGGCTGGAGGAGTGGCCGCTCCTATATCCCCACTGTCCCCATGGCCCTATGTCCCCATGTCCCCCCGGCTGTCCCCGTGTCCCCAGCTGTCCCCTGGGTCCCCAGCTTCTCATACCCGATCGGGAAGGACATGTGGCTGGAGGAGTGGCCGCTCCTATATCCCCACTGTCCCCATGGCCCTATGTCCCCATGTCCCCCCGGCTGTCCCCGTGTCCCCAGCTGTCCCCTGGGTCCCCAGCTTCTCATACCCGATCGGGAAGGACATGTGGCTGGAGGAGTGGCCGCTCCTATATCCCCACTGTCCCCATGGCCCTATGTCCCCATGTCCCCCCGGCTGTCCCCGTGTCCCCAGCTGTCCCCTGGGTCCCCAGCTTCTCATACCCGATCGGGAAGGACATGTGGCTGGAGGAGTGGCCCTCGGAGGCCGCGTGCCAGGACGCGGCGCTGCAGCAGCGCTGCCAGGACTTCGTCGAGTTCTCCGAGTCCATGACGCTCTTCGGCTGTCCCAGCTGAGTCCCCAAGGTGTCCCCACCCTGGGGTGGCACCAACGCTCCGGTGGCACCTGGGTGCCACCGCTCTTCTCCGGGTGCTTTTTGTCCCCTCCCCGCCTTTTTTGGGTTTTTTTCTCTTTTTTTTTGGTTAAAAAAGTCATTTCTGAGCACTTGGCTTGGGGTGTCCTTGGAGGGGGGGACATGTGGGGGGGAGTGGGGACACCAAGGGGACATGGGGACACCACAGGGGACATGGGAACATCATAGGGGGCATGGGGACACCAGAGGGGACATGGGGACCATACAGGGGACATGTGGGGGGCAGTGGGGACACCAAGGGGACATGGGGACATGTGGGGGACATGGAGGGACATGGGGACACAGAGAGGTCATGGGGACATCATAAGGGACATGGGGACAGCAGAGGGGACGTGGAGGGGAGTGGGGACACCAAGGGGACACGGGGACATCACAAGGGACATGGGGACATCCAGGGGACATAGGCACACCAAGAGGACATGGGGACACCATAAGGGACATGGGCACATCACAGGGGACATGTTGGGGGGAGTGGGGACACCAAGGAGACCTGGGGACACCAGAGGGGGCATGGGGACATCATAAGGGACATGGGGACACTAGAGGGGACATGGGGACACCACAGGGGACATGGGGACCATACAGGGGATGTGGGGGGGGAGTGGGGACACCAGAGGGGGCATGGGGACATCAGAGGGGGCATGGGGACATGGTAGGGGACCTGGGGACAGCAGAGGGGACATGGGGACACCAGAGAGGATGTGGCGGGGAGTGGGGACACCAAGGGGACCTGGGGACACCAAGGGGACCTGGGGACACCACAGGGGGCATGGGGACACCCACCACAGGGGACAGGGGGACATGGTAAGGGACATGGGGACATGGTAAGGGACATGGGGACAGCAGAGGGGACATGGGGACACCAGAGGGGTCATGGGGACATCATAAGGGACATGGGGACACCAGAGGGGACATGGAGGACACCATAACAGAAATGGGGACACCATAAGGGACATGGGGACACCACAGGGGACATGGGGACAGCAGTGGGGGTATGGGGACATAGAGGGGGCATGGGAGACACCATAACAGAAATGGGGACACCATAAAGGACATGGGGACATTACAGGGGACACAGGGACTCCGTAGGGGACATGGGGTCACCACAGGGGACATGGAGACACCATAAGGGACATGGGGACACCACAGGGGACACAGTGACTCCATAGGGGACAGGGGGACACCAGAGGGGACATGGGGACATGGTGAGGGTCATGAGGGACATGGGGACACCAGAGGGGACATGGGGACATCATAAGGGACATGGGGACATTACAGGGATCATGGGGACATGGTGGGGGACATGGGGACACCAGAGGGGTCACGGGGACATTACAGGGGACATGGGGACATCATAGGGGACACAGGGACTCTGTAGGAGACATGGGGACATTACAGGGGACATGGGGACACCATAAGGGACACGGGGACACCACAGGGGACACAGGGACTCCGCAGAGGACATGGGGACACCAGAGAGGACATGGGGACATGGTGAGGGTCATGAGGGACATGGGGACACCACAGGGGACATGGGGACACCCAAACCCTGCACCCCACATTTCCCACCCCACACTTGGCACCTGGGACAATTTTGGGGGGGGGGGATCTGGGGTAAATTTTGGTGTTTCTGGGGCAAATCTGGGGGTGATGGGGGAAATTTTGGGGTGACGGGGCAAATTTGGGGGTTCTGGGACAAATTTGGGGGTTCTGGGACAAATTTGGGGGGTTCTGGTGTTAAATTTTGGGGACTCCAGGACAAATTTTGAGGTTTCTGGGGCAAATTTTCGGGCTCAAGGGCAAATTTTGGGGGGTTCTGGGGAAAAATTTGGGGGTTTGGGGTTAAATTTTGGGGGGGTCCAGGACAAATTTGGGGGGATTTTTGGCAAATTTGGATTTCCTGGGGCAAATTTTGGGGGGTTCTTGGGAAAATTCTGGGATTTTGGTGTTAAATGTTGGGGGAGTCCAGGAGAAATTTTGGGGGATTTTCAGCAAATTTGGATTTCTTGGGGCAAATTTTGGGGGGTTTGGGGAAAATTCTGGGATTTTGGGGTTAAATTTTGGGGTCTTCAGGACAAATTTTCGGGGGTTTTCGGCAAATTTTGGAGTTTCCAGGGCAAATTTGGGGATTTTGGGGTTAAATTTGGGAGGTTCTGGGGTAAATTTTGGGGGATTTGCAGGTGGGGACCCCCCGAGGTCCCCTCGGTGCCACCCCAGGGTTGTCACCCCTGTTTTTTTGGGGACAATCCAGGCGGTAAAAAGAATCCATAAATAATTTTATTCATCCATTAATAAATAATTAATTAAGGACAATAATGAATAAATAATTAATTAAGGGCAATAATTAATTAAGGACAGCAGGGACCCTCCCCCCCAAAGCGTCCCCAAGGAGGTCCCAAGTGTCCAGCACCATGTCCCCAAGTGTCCCCAAGTGTCCAGCACTGGGTCCACGAGGTCCCCGAATGTCCCCAAGCACCAAATTGGGGAGGGGGGTCACCAATGTCACTTGGTGTCCCCAAATCTCTGGGTGAGGAGGTCACCAATGTCACTTGGTGTCCCCAAATCTCTGGGTGTGGAGGTCACTGATGTCACTTGGTGTCCCCAAATCTCTGGGTGTGGAGGTCACCGATGTCACTTGGTGTCCCCAGTCTTTGGGGACAAGGTTTTGTCATCCAAATCTTCGGCCATGAACGTCACCAATGTCACTTGGTGTCCCCAAACCTCCAGGTGTGGAGGTCACCGATGTCACTTGGTGTCCCCAGTCTTTGGGGACAAGGTTTTGTCACCCAAATCTTCGACCATGAACGTCACCAATGTCACTTGATGTCCCCAAACCTCCAGGTGTGGAGGTCACCGATGTCACTTGGTGTCCCCAGTCTTTGGGGACAAGGTTTTGTCATCCAAATCTTCGGCCATGAATGTCACCGATGTCACTCAGTGTCCCCAAATCTCCGGGTGTGGAGGTCACCGATGTCACTTGATGTCCCCAAATCTCTGGGCACAGGGGCCTTGTCACTCATCTCTCCAATCATAGATGTCACCATGTCCCTTGTCCCCAAATCTCTGAGCATGGGGGTCTTGTCCCCAAATCGCCAACCAGGGATGTCACCGATGTCCCTTGTCCCCAAACCTCCAGGTTTGGATGTCACCGATGTCCCTTGTCCCCAAATCTCTGGGTTTGGAGGTCACCAATGTTCCTTGTCCCCAAACCTTTGGGTTTGGATGTCACCGATGTCCCTTGTCCCCACATCTCTGGGTTTGGATGTCACCGATGTCCCTTGACGTCCCCAGACCTCCAGGTTTGGACGTCACCAATGTCCCTTGATGTCCCCAAACCTCTGGGTGTTGTGGTCTTGTCCCCAAATCTCCAACCAGGGATGTCACCGATGTCCCTTGTCCCCAAACCTCCAGGTTTGGACGTCACCAATGTCCCTTGATGTCCCCAAACCTCCACACTCGGGACTCCCCGATGTCCCCAAGCCCCCCCCCGGCAGGTGACCAGGCCGGCCACCCCCTCACCACCCGTGTGTCACCACCGGGTGCCACCGCCCGGTGCCACCACTCGTCACGCCCCCGCGATCCGCAGCAGCCCCACGAAGTTTCCCTCGCGCTCCTCCTGCTCCAGCTGCCACCCGCCCGTGTCCCCAGCGGTGTCCCCGGCGGTGTCCCCGGCGGTGTCCCCAACCAGCTGGAGGCTCAGCGTGTCCCCAGGCCACAGCTGTCCCACGGCCTGGGCCAGCGCTGAGCGCCGCCGGTGGCCCCCGGTGGCGGCCGGCAGGGACAGTGGCACGGCCAGCAGCGGCCTTGGGGACCCGGCGCGGCGCAGCTGCAGGGTGACGGCGCCTTGGGGACAGGTGGCCGCGGTGCAGGTGACACCCAGCTGGCCGTAGAGGAGGTAGAGGCCGCCGGATGTCACCCGTAGCGTCCTCGAGGTGTCCAGCTGGATGTCACCGCTCAGGAAAACGCCCTGGACGCCGTCCTCGTAGCGCGGTGACAGGGACGGTGACAGCGAGCCTGGGGACAGGGGACAGCGGTCAGCGGGGACAGGGGGACACTGGGGACAGGGGGACATTGGGGACATTGGGGACATGGGACAGGGGACAGCGGTCAGCGGGGACAGGGGGACATCGGGGGACATGGGGACACAGGGACATCAGGGGTCAGTGGGGACACTGGGGACATTGGGGACAGTGGGGACATTGGAGACAGGGGACAGCGGTCAGTGGGGCCAGGGGGACATCGGGAACAGGGGGACAGTGGGGACATGGGGACAGCGGTCAGCGGGGACAGGGGGACATCGGGGGACCTGGGGACACAGGGCCATCAGGGGTCAGTGGGGACACTGGGGACATTGGGGACAGTGGGGACATTGGAGACAGGGGACAGCGGTCAGTGGGGCCAGGGGGACATCGGGAACAGGGGGACAGTGGGGACATGGGGACAGCGGTCAGCGGGGACATGGGGACATCAGGGGACATGGGGCCACGGGGAGTGGGGCAGCTGTCAGTGGGGACAGGGGGACATCGGGAACAGGGGGACAGTGGGGACATGGGGACAGCGGTCAGCGGGGACATGGGGACATGAGGGGACATGGGGACATGAGGGGACATGAGGGGACACGGGGACATGAGGGGACATGAGGGGACAGTGAGGGGACATGAGGGGACATGAGGGGACATTGGGGACATGAGGGGACACTGAGGGGACACGGGGACACGGGGACATGAGGGGACATGAGGGGACAGTGTTGTGGTCTTGTCCCCAAATCTCCAACCAGGGATGTCACCGATGTCCCTTGTCCCCAAACCTCCAGGTTTGGACGTCACCAATGTCCCTTGATGTCCCCAAACCTCCACACTCGGGACTCCCCGATGTCCCCAAGCCCCCCCCCGGCAGGTGACCAGGCCGGCCACCCCCTCACCACCCGTGTGTCACCACCGGGTGCCACCGCCCGGTGCCACCACTCGTCACGCCCCCGCGATCCGCAGCAGCCCCACGAAGTTTCCCTCGCGCTCCTCCTGCTCCAGCTGCCACCCGCCCGTGTCCCCAGCGGTGTCCCCGGCGGTGTCCCCGGCGGTGTCCCCAACCAGCTGGAGGCTCAGCGTGTCCCCAGGCCACAGCTGTCCCACGGCCTGGGCCAGCGCTGAGCGCCGCCGGTGGCCCCCGGTGGCGGCCGGCAGGGACAGTGGCACGGCCAGCAGCGGCCTTGGGGACCCGGCGCGGCGCAGCTGCAGGGTGACGGCGCCTTGGGGACAGGTGGCCGCGGTGCAGGTGACACCCAGCTGGCCGTAGAGGAGGTAGAGGCCGCCGGATGTCACCCGTAGCGTCCTCGAGGTGTCCAGCTGGATGTCACCGCTCAGGAAAACGCCCTGGACGCCGTCCTCGTAGCGCGGTGACAGGGACGGTGACAGCGAGCCTGGGGACAGGGGACAGCGGTCAGCGGGGACAGGGGGACACTGGGGAGAGGGGGACATTGGGGACATTGGGGACATGGGACAGGGGACAGCGGTCAGCGGGGACATCAGGGGACAGTGGGGACACTGGGGACATTGGGGACATTGGGGACAGTGGGGACATTGGAGACAGGGGACAGCGGTCAGTGGGGACATGGGGACATCAAGGGACAGCGGTCAGCGGGGACATCGGGACACTGGGGCCATGGGGACATGGGGACAAGGGACAGGGGACAGCAGTCAGTGGGAACGGTGACAACAAGCCTGGGGACAGGGGACAGCTGTCAGTGGGGACAGGGGGACATCGGGAACAGGGGGACAGTGGGGACATGGGGACAGAGGTCAGCGGGGACAGGGGGACATCAGGGGACATGGGGACATGGGGACAGGGGACAGCGGTCAGTGGGGACAGGAGGACAGTGGGGACATGGGGACATCAGGGGACATGGGGACACGGGACATGGGACAGCGGTCAGTGGGGACATCAGGACATTGGGGACATAGGGACACTGGGGACAGCGGTCAGTGAGGGGACATGGGGACAGGGGACAGCGGTCAGTGGGGACAGGAGGACAGTGGGGACATGGGGACATCAGGGGACATGGGGACACGGGACGTGGGACAGCTGTCAGTGGGGACAGGGGGACATCGGGAACAGGGGGACAGTGGGGACATGGGGACAGGGGACAGAGGTCAGCGGGGACATGGGGACATCAGGGGACATGGGGACATGGGGACAGGGGACATCAGGGGACAGCGGGGACATGGGGACAGGGGACAGCGGTCAGTGGGGACAGGGGGACACTGGGGACACAGGCACATCATGGGACAGTGGGGACGTTGGGGACATGGGACAGCGGTCAGTGGGGACATCAGGACATTGGGGACATAGGGACACTGGGGACAGCGGTCAGTGGGGACATGGGGACAGGGGACAGCTCAGGGACAGAGGGGACAGCGGGTGACAGGGAGGAGGGAGCCTGGGGACACAGGGGCTGGGGACAGTCGGTGACACCCTGGGGATCACAGGGACACTTTGTGACACCCTGGGGACACTCTGTGACATCTTAGGGACATTCCAGGACGTCCTGGGGACCACAGGGACACTCCGTGACACCCTGGGGACCACAGGGACATTCCGTGACACCTTGGGGATCGCGGGGACATTCTGTGACACCTTGGGGACACTGACACCTTGGGGACATTCCGTGACACCCTGGGGACAGTGACACCTTGGGGACAATGACACCCTGGGGACATTCCACGACACCCTGGGGACAACAACACTTTGGGGACAATGGCATCTTGGGGACACTCCGTGACACCCTGGGGACACTCCATGACACCCTGGGGACAATGACACCTTGGGGACACTCCGTGACACCCTGGCGACACTCCGTGACACCCTGGGGACAGTGACACCTTGGGGACACTCCGTGACATCCCAGGGACATTCCATGACACCCTGGGGACCACAGGGACACTCCGTGACACCCTGAGGACACTCCATGACACCCTGGGGACACTCCATGACACCCTGGGGACAACAACACCTTGGGGACAATGGCATCTTGGGGACACTCCGTGACACCCTGGTGACATCTCCGTGACACCCTGGGGACACTCCATGACACCCTGGGGACATTCCTGACACCTTGGGGACACTCCGTGACATCCCAGGGACATTCCATGACACCCTGGGGACCACAGGGACACTCCGTGACACCCTGGGGACACTGAAGCCTTGGGGACACTCCATGACGCCGCCTGTGCCACCCCCGGATGCCGCGGGGGAGGTGACATCGGGGAGGTGACAATGGGGGAGGTGACACTTCCTCTGCGAGGAACCCGAGTGACAATTTCGAGATGACTCCGGTGGGGGGAGGGGAGGGGACATCCAGGGACAAGAGGGGACACAGGGGACATCAGGGGACACAGGGGACATCAGGAACTGGAGGGGACACAGGGACAGGAGGGGACATCAAGGGACAGGAGGGGACACAGTGGACACAGGGGTCACAGGGGACAGGAGGGGACATCAGGGGACATCAGGTGACATCAGGGGACACAGGGGTCACAGGGGACAGGAGGGGACATCAGGGGACATCAGGTGACATTCAGGACTTACTGGCACTGAGCAGGACGTGGGCAGCGGTGGCAGCCTGAGGGGACAGGAGGGGACAACGTCAGCAGGAGGGTCCCCAACGTCCCCAAGGTGTCCCCAAGGTGTCCCCAAGGTGTCCCCAATGCCCCCAATGTCCCCAAGGTCCCCAAGGTGTCCCCAAGGTGTCTCCAATGCCCCCAATGTCCCCAAGGTGTCCCCAAGGTGTCCCCAATATCCCCAAGGTGTCCCCAATGTCCCCAAGGTCTCCAATGCCCCCAATGTCCCTAAGGCGTCCCCAATGTCCCCAAGGTGCCCAATGTCCCCAAGGTGTCCCCAATGCCCCTCATGTCCCTAAGGCGTCCCCAATGTCCCCAAAGTGTTCCTGAGGTGTCCCCAAGGTGTCCCCAATGTCCCCGAGGCGGACAGATGGACAGCTGGACGGACACGTGGACACACAGGATGGACACAGGGACACGTGGATGGACAGGTGGACACGTGGATGGACACAGGGATGGACAGATGGACACAGGGATGGACAGATGGACACAGGGGAAGGACAGGTGGACACCTGGACGGACAGATGGACACGTGGATGGACACAGGGATGGAGAGATGGACACAGGGATGGAGAGATGGACACCTGGACAGACAGATGGACACACAGGATGGACACAGGGATGGACAGGTGGACACCTGGACGGACAGATGGACACGTGGATGGACACAGGGATGGACAGATGGACACATGGACAGACAGATGGACACGTGGATGACGGACACTTGGGTGGACACAGGGACACACGGGATGGGCACATGGATGGACACACGGACACGTGGATGGACGGATGGACACCTGGACACCGGGACAGACGGACGGACACCAGGACAGATGGACAACTGGGCATATGGACAACAGGACACCGGGGCAATCAAACACCAGGACAGATGGACACCAGGACAAACGGACACCAGGACAAGCATCTGGACCACTGCACAACCGGACACCTGGACAACTGGACAAACAGACACCTGGACAATTGGATAACCAGGCACCAGGACAGACAGACACCGGGACAAACGGACACCAGGACAAACACCCAGACAACCGGAAGACCGGACACCAGGACACCAGGACAAATGGACACCAGGACAGACAGACACCGGGACAAACGGACATCAGGACACCGGGAAAATTGCACACCAGGACAAACGGACAACTGGACAAATGGACACCAGGACAAATGCACAGCAGGACAACTGGGCAACTGGACAAACGGACACCAGGACAAACACCTGGACAACCGGACACTGGGACAGACGGACACCAGGACAGACACCTGAACAGACGGACACCAGGACAAACAGACACCAGGACAAACGGACATCAGGACACCAGGAAAATTGCACACCAGGACAACTGGACACCAGGACAAACACCCGGACTCCGGGACACCTGGACAGACGGACCCCGGGACAGCCGGCCCCCAGGACACCCAGACCCCGGGACAAGCGGGCACCGCGCGCTCAGGACAGACGGACGGACGGACAGACCGACAGCCCTCCCCCGCCCCGTGCCCACCTTCACCGGGGGCTGCCCCCGGAGCGCCCCCAGCGCGGCGGCGGCGGCGGCTCCGAGCGCGGCCAGCGCGGCCAGGGCGGCGAGCGCCGCGAGCAGGCGGCACCGGCACCGGCACCGGCACCGGTCCTGCTGCTGGGGACCGTCCCAGTTCCGCTCCAAGTCCCGGTTCTGGTCCCGGTTCCGCTCCAAGTCCCGGTTCTGCTCCCGGTGCTGGGGATGGTCCCGGTTCTGCTCCAAGTCCCGGTTCTGGTCCCGGTTCCGCTCCAAGTCCCGGTTCTGCTCCCGGTGCTGGAGATGGTCCCGGTTCTGCTCCAAGTCCCGGTACTGGTCCCGGTTCCAATCCTGGTGCCGGTTCTTTTCCCGGTTCTGGTCCCAGTTCTGGTGCCGGTTCATGTCCCAGTTCTGCTCCCGGTTCTTTTCCCAGTTCTGGTCCCCGTTCATGTCCCGGTTCTGGTCCCGGTTCTGGTCCCGGTTCCGGTCCCAGTTCTGGTTCTGGCGCGGGTTCTGGTCCCGGTTCCGGTCCCAGCTCCGGTCCTGGTTCTGGCGCGGGTTCTGGTCCCAGTTCCGGTCCCGATTCTGGTCCCAGTTCTGGTCCCGGTCTCGGTTCATGTCCCGGTTCTGGTCCCAGTTCCGGTACCCGCTCTGGTCCGGGTTCACGTCCTGGTGCCGGTCCCGGTTCTGGTTCTTGTCCCGCTCCTGGTGCCGGTCCCGGTCCCGGTTCGGGTCCCGGTCCCGGTCCGGGCAGAGGCACCGGCAGGGCCGCGGGGCTGCCGGGGGATTCTCGGGGTCGGCGAGCGGCGACATCGCGGCGACATCGGCGACAGAGCGGAGCGGGAGCGCTTTTAACGGGACACGAACGGGGAGGGGACACGGGGAGGGGACACGGGGACAGCGGGGAGGGGACACCGTGACATCAGGGAAGGGACAGCGGGGAAGGGACAGCGGGGAGGGGACACGGTGACATCGGGGAGTGGGACTGGAACGGCGGGGAGGGGACAGGGTGACATCAGGGAAGGGACAGCGGGGAAGGGACAGCGGGGAAGGGACCGGTGACATCGGGGAGGGGACATCGGGGAGTGGGACTGGAACGGCGGGGAGGGGACAGGGTGACATCAGGGAGGGACCGGGGACATCAGGGAACGGAGCGGGGACAGCGGGGACAGGACCGGCGACATCGGGGAGGGGACAGGGACATCGGGGAGGGGACACGGTGACATCAGGGAGCGGGACACGGGGAGGGGAGCGGGAAGGTGACATCAGGGAATGCACCGGGGACACGGGGAGGGGACAGTGACATCGGGGAGGGGACAGCGAGGAGGGGACACGGTGACATCAGGGAGAGGGACACGGGGAGGGACATCGGGGAATGGAGCGGGGACAGCGGGGAGGGGACGGGGGACAGTAGGGAGGGGACAGTGACATCGAGGGGGACACCGGGAAGGGGTTGGGGACACCGAGAAGGGGTTGGGGACACCGGGAAGGGGTTGGGGACACCGGGGAGGGGTTGGGGTTGGGAAAAACACCGGGAAGGGGTTGGGGACACTTTGGGGGTGACAATGACACCGGGAAGGGGTTGGGGACACTTTGGGGGTGACAATGACACCGGGAAGGGGTTGGGGACACTTTGGGGGTGGCAATGACACCGGGAAGGGGTTGGGGACACTTTGGGGGGGACCGGAGGGACCCCGAGGGGACAACGGCGACACCAGGGAGGGACAAATCCACCCTGGGGGGTGGCACCGGCGACAAAAGCGACAGCGGGGGCGGGGACAGAGGCGCGAGGAAGCGGCGACACCGTGGGTGGGGGAGGGGAGGTTTTGGGGACCCCCCCGGCCGTGACGTCACAGAGGGGAATTGTCCCCGAGTGTCCCCAAGTGCCACCCGCGGGGGTTTCCTGCGGGGACGGAATTTTTGTCACTTTTTTTGGGGGGGGAGGGGACAGCTGGGGACAGCCTTGGGGGGGAGACGCACAAAATAGGGGTCCCCAAAAAAAACCCAAAATGGATCCCAAACACCCCCAAAATGGATCCCAAAAAAACCCCCAAAAAACCCAAAATGGACCTAAAAAAACCCAAAAAAAACCCCAAAATGGACCCCCCCAAAAAACCCAAAGAAACCCCCAAAAAATTCCAAAAGGGACCCCAAAAAAACCTGAAATGGACTCCAAAAAAACCCAAAAATCACCAAAATGGGCCCCCCAAAAAAACCCAAAAAAACCCCAAAATGTATCCCAAAAAAACCCCAAAAAACCCAAAATGGACCTCAAAAAACCCCAAAATGGACCTCAAAAAACCCCAAAATGGACCCCAAAAAAACCCAAAAAAACCCCAAAATGGATCACAACAAACCCCCAAAAAACTCAAAATGGACCTCAAAAAACCCCCAAAATGGACCCCAAAACAATCCCAAACCTTCCCCCCCCCACCCTCAAAAAAACCTCCAAAAGGGACCCAAAAAAACCCCAAAATGGACCGCAAAAAATCCCAAATGGACCCCAAAAAAGCTCCAAAATGGACACCAAAAAAACTCCAAAAGGGACCTCAAAAAACCCCAAAATAGAGCCCAAAAAAACCCCCCAAAAAACCCAAAATAGACCCCAAAACAATCCCAAACCTTCCCAAAAAAAAAAAAAACCAAAAAAAAAAACACCAAAATGGGAGCCCCAAATTCCCCCCCAAAAAAACCCCAAAAAACCCTTTTATTTTATTTTATTTTATTTTATTTTATTTTATTTTATTTTATTTTTATTTTAATTTAATTTAATTTAATTTTAATTTATTTTAATTAATTTATTTATTTCCTTCCCCTCCCCCAGCCCTCCTTGTCCCCGCCCATTGCACCGCCCTGGGGGGGCGTGGCCTCCAGTCAAACCACGCCCTCACCCCCTAACCACGCCCCTTCCCCACTTCACCAATCACCGAGGCGCGCGTTCGTGACGTCATCGCGCCGACCCGGAAGCGAGGCGAGCGCGGAGAGAGGGGAGTACGGGGGGCGGGAAACAGCGCTGCTCACGTGACCGCGAGGGCGGGGGCGTGCTGATTGGGCAGGGCCGGCAGGTGTGGGCGTGGCCAAGGCGCGCGCGCGGCGCTTCCGGGACGGGAGAGGTGAGGGGAAAGATTGGGAAATTGTTCTTCAAAATTGGGAGGTTTTGCCCCAAAATCGTCAATTTTAACTCAAAATTTGGGATTTTTACCCCAAAATTGGGAATTTTTCCCTCAAAATTAGGATTTTCACCCCAAAATTGAGGAATTTTTTCTCTAAAATTGGGGGGTTTCACCCCAAAATTGGGGATTTTTGCTCAAAATTTGAGATCTTCACCCCAAAATTTGGGATCTTGGCCTAAAATTTGGGATTTTTTCTTCCAAAATTGAGATTTTTTTGATCAAAATTAGAGATTTTCACTTAAAAATTGGGGATTTTCCCCTCAAAGTTTGGGAATTTCCCCCAAATTTGAGGATTTTTTGATCAAAATTTGGGATTTTTACGAAAAAATTTGGGATTTTTGCCTCCCAAAATTTGGGATCTTGGCCTAAAATTTGGGATTTTTTCTTCCAAAATTGAGATTTTTTTGATCAAAATTAGAGATTTTCACTTAAAAATTGGGGATTTTCCCCTCAAAGTTTGGGAATTTCCCCCAAATTTGAGGATTTTTTGATCAAAATTTGGGATTTTTACGAAAAAATTTGGGATTTTTGCCCCAAAATTCAGGAATTTTGCCCCAATTTTGGGAATTTTTGCCCCAATTTTGGGAATTTTTGCCCCAATTTTGGGAATTTTGCCCCAGTTTTGGGGAATTCGGGGAATTCCAGGAATGTTTGGGGGAGGCTGAAACTTCGTTAGGGGTAATTAAGCCTCTGTGTGATTATGCAAATGAGCTGCATCATTATGCCTGTGTATGCAAATGAGCCTCTGGTTATGCAGATCGTGTGGGCGGGGCGTGGGAATCTGGATAGACTGGGACTGGTTAGACTGGGTTTAATTAATCCAGAGCTTAATTAATCCAGTCTAATTAATGAACTGGCTTCAATTAATCCAGAGTTTAATTAATCCAGTCTAATTAATGAACTGGCTTCAGTTAATCCAGAGTTTAATTAATCCAGTCTAATTAATTAAACTGCCTTCAATTAATCCAGAGTTTAGTTAATCCGGTCTAACTAATTAAACTGAGTTGAACTAATCCAGAGTTTAATTAATCCAATCTATTTAATTAAACGGGATTCAATTAATTCCAGGCCATTCCCGGTGTCCCCAGGG